ATAACTGAATAGTCGAATAACTGAAAAGTTCAATTATTCAACTACAAATAGTTGAATACTTGAATTTTACTTTCTACTGTTACATTTATGTCTGTCATCTGATCGATCAATTAGAGTTCTAAAGAAATAAATTTTTTATATCGTTTTTTTTCTACAGATATACAATGTATATGTGTAATAAAAAATGATCGTTCCATTTTTCTATTTCTTTAACTGACATAGTTAACTAGCATTCAGTCCATCTTGCAATCACTATACATAATCTTAGTTAAATTGTAACTCAAAATGCAAAAGAACATTTCATTCAAAAGTTTTGTTCTAAACTTATATATGTACATTTGTACATATATAAGCTTTTCATACGTACCAGCTGACTGCTTACTTCAGTAATTACTTGATAGACTAGCTGGATAAAAAATGAGTACAAGTATTCGTATGATCCATGCATATTTCTAGGGAAATAATAATCTTATACCACCCTAAAATTATGTTGTGGAACTTAATTTACGTGAGTTTTAAATCACCTTAACTCAATTTAAATCATAAAAAATCAGCTTAAATCAATTTTAATCACAAAAATCATTAATCGCTTTTTCCCCCTTGTTTCGAATAGTCTTTCATCTTGTAATAGACAATACTGATGCTGCTGTATGAACTAGCCAAATCAGGATGATTTGAAGGAAGATTTTTTTCTCGAATCTCAAGTGCTTTTTCGTGTGATGAAAGTGCTTTCGAGTACTCTTCCATGTTCTCATACACCAAACCAATGTTGTTGTATAAAGTAGCCAATGAAGGATGATTTGAAGGAAGAGTTTTTTGATCAATTTCAAGTGCTTTTTTGTAGAATGAAAGTGCTTTCGAGTACTGTCCCATATTTTTATACACACCACCAGTGTTGTTGTATGAATCAGCCAAAGCAGGATGATTTGAAGGAAGAATTTTTTGAAAGATTTCAAGTGCTTTTTCGTAAAATGAAAGTGCTTTCGAGTACTCTCTCGTATTGTGATACACATTACCGATGTTGTTGTATGAAATAGCCAAAAGTGGATGATTTGAAGAAAAAGCTATTTGAAATATTTCAAGTGCTTTTCCTTGAAATGAAAGTGCTTTCGAGTAATCTTTCATGTGGTTATATACATTACCAATGTTATTGTATGAATTAGCCAAATGAGGATGATTCGAAGGAAGACTTTTTTGAAAGATTTCAAGTGCTTTTTCGTAAAATGAAAGTGCTTTCGAGTACTCTCCCATGTGGCTATACACAGCACCAATGTTGTTGTATGAAGTAGCCAAAGCAGGATGATTTGTAGATAGAGCTTTTTGAAATATTTCAAGTGCTTTTTCGTAAAATGAGAGTGCTGTCGAGTACTCTCCCATCTTGTCATACACCAAACCAATGTTGTTGTATGAAGTAGCCAAATGAGGATGATTCGAGGGAAGAGTTTTTCGATAGATTTCAACTGCTTTTTCGTAACATGAAAGTGCTTTTGAGTACTCTCCCATGTTTTTATACACACCACCAGTGTTATTGTATGCAGTAGCCAATGAAGGATGATTTAAACCAAGACTTGTCTGATCCATTTCAAGCACTTTTTCGTAAAATGAAAGTGCTTTCGAGTACTCTCCCATGTTCTCATACACACCACCGATGTTGTTGTATAAAGTAGCCAATGAAGGATGATTTGAAGAAAGAGTTTTTTGAAATATTTCAAGTGCTTTTTCTTTAAATGAAAGTGCTTTCGAGTAGTCTCCCATCTTGTAATACACACTACCGATATTGTCGTATGAATCAGCCAAAGCAGGATGATTTGGAGGAAGAGTTTTTTCTCGAATTTCAAGTGCTTTTTTGTAAAACGTAACTGCTTTCGAGTACTCTGCCATGTTGTCATACACATTACCAGTATTGTTATATGAATTAGCCAAATGAGGATGATTCGAAGGAAGAGTTTTTTGAAAGATTTCAAGTGATTTTTCGTAAAATGAAAGTGCTTTCGAGTGCTCTCCCATGTGGTTATACACAGCACCAATGTTGTTGTATGAAGTAGCGAAAAATGGATGATCTGAAGGGAGACTTTTTTGATTCATTTCAAGTACTTTTTCATGAAATGAAAGTGCTTTCGAGTAGTCTCCCATCTTGCTATACAGCAAGCCGAGGTTGCTATATGAAGTAGCCAACTCAGGATGGTTTGAAGGAAGTGTTCTCTCATGGATTTCAAGGCCTGGTTGGTAATACGAAATAGCCTTTTCATAAGCACCCTGATTCATATGAACATATCCCAGAGTAATGTAATAGAGTCCTTTCTCACTCTCATCTGATGTGTGTTCGAGTAATACGTTATAAAGTTCTTCAGCTTTATTAAATTGACCAATTTGAAGTAATAGTTTACCCAATCTCTTCAATCCAGTATTACCATCAGCTTCTTCTCGTATCCGATCAGTAAGTAATCGTAGTTGTTGATCATCATCCGACGTTAATTGTAACTCAACTTGGTAAAGTTGAGAGTCATTATCCATTTTTTGAATTGCTCCCACTCGAAAGACGGTGTGCATTGAGAAGAGAACTTCTTCTTCATCCTTATAATAACTCTCTTCTTTAACGAATGCAAATGGTGTTGATTTAACACAAGGATCAATGGACATTATAAAGAGAATACCCACCTTATTTGGTTCTGTTGAAGCGCCTTGAGCAAAACCGAGGGATAGTACCTTATCTGTACTGGTGGACAAAAAATTGTTGAATGACATTAGTCCACCTATTGTTTTCTGAAGTTTTGCGAAGTCTGTTTTGATAAGACCTTGTCCCCGATAAACTACAAAAGACTTTCCAGCAAAAGCGCTGAACTGTTGCTCGTACAACTGTTGTATTTGTTGATGCAGATGACATATAAAAAAACCCATATTAATAATTATATCGGCGTCCAATATTCGAAGACCATAATTGAGCATAGAAAAGATATTCGATGGAAAAGTATACCACTGAATAGCTAACTGAGCATGGTATTCTTTCTCAAAACGATCAATATTGATTGGTGACACGCTGTTATCATTTCGACAGTAAGCAATAAATTGTTTAATCGCTTGTTCATCATGTTTCATATCAAGGAGAACTTCCTTGAATAGTTGGGTGTACATAAAGTTTGGCTCTAATTGATCCAAGTCATCAATTGAAGCCATTTCTTTTACCGTGACAAAACTCACACCAATCGAGTCTTGATTGTGTTGCTTGACATCCATTTGTAATGCTTGACATAAGTCATTGTTATTGGTATAAACACTCTTGATTTTATCCCGTTTTTTTATCCATTCTTCATAAAAGAAGTTAGCACTACTGAAGATATAAATGCCATGCAGCTGAGGAATATCATTGATGAGGGGCATAATTTGTTGAGCTATAGTATTCTTAACAACGAGAAAAGACTTGATGTCTTCGTGAGCATCAGATAGAAAGTCGATGCATTGATCTCTTTGCGTAAATACGGTGACATTGTCGGTATTGATTCGCATTTGTGTCAAAATATTTTGATAATCTTTGTTTGCTTCTTCCATACATTCATCTAACCAGATGAGTGAGTAATCTTGTACCATACGTCTTCGCCGTTCGCTGCTATTAGATATTGCGTCCATATCGTGTATTATGCGACAATAAAACAGTAATTTTGAGAGTCTTTCGATTGAGTTGAAAATGGTGAAGGAGATGAATAAGCTTTATTATATATATGAGGATAGACGGGTAAGCCGTCAGCTTGAACGCGCGTCGGCTCTAGCAAAAACGTTAGCTGCCAGTCGTCAGCTTCAGCAAAAATCGGCTGACGGCTTACAACTATATGAGAATCAGATTTGCTTATGTCAATGTTTTTATGACGTCATTAGCCGGTTTTTATGCTTATTACTGTTATCTATGATAAAATCCTGTTCTGTGTATCCCTCAGTATATATCGTAATGCTGGGTGAGTAGAAGGAAGAAAAAACTATTCGTTTTCTCCAGCTTTCTCCAAAGATAAGACATAATATGATCCTTAACAAAAAAAA